GCCGACTCCCAAGGATTTTGTTTGCAACGTCTTTCAGACTGTCTAACATTTTTTTGGCGCGGGATAGGCTTGGCTGAAGCTTCTCGAAGCATTTCTGTTTTGGGTCTTTGTATTTTTGGTTTCGTTATTACTTCTTGTATTTTGTTTACTGTTTTGCGTGGCGTTGACTGCGGATTTTGGAACCCCTAGGTTTATAATGTATTTTTTATTTTTAGCTGGGGATCCACTATCCCTCCCTTATTTTGTAACATTTTTTAAGAATTAACACGTAGAGAGCCACAAGTTGTTCTTTTCTTTATATATTTAAGAATTAACACGTAGGGAGCCACGAGTTGCTCGTTTCTTTATATATATATATATATGTATATAGATGTATACATGTGTACATATACATATATATATATATGTATATATATGTATACATATATATGTATATAGATGTATAGATATACATATCTATATGTACATATACATTTATTTTTATAAAAAAGCCCAAGGCAAATTTATTGAACAAAAAAGGGTGCAGATAGGTTGTATGAGTGGACTCAAATAGACACTCAACTCATACGGTACAAACACAAAAAAAGAAAAACAAAGAAACTTAAAACCCAAAAGTAGATGATACATATAAGATCAACACATATAAGATCAACTGATACATATAAGATCAACTAGGTCGACCCACTTTAGTTCTGCCTCTGCCTCTAGTTCTCGGAAAGGAACCAACTAACAGATTGATGAGGTGTGTACCATTGCCTGAAGTAACCAGAGTATTATCCATTAGATTTCTCAGCTCAAGTAGATCTCCATTCTTTTCTTCTTCCTCCTGAATGTAGACCTGTCATTCCTCATCCGAAGATTGCTGCTCATTCGGATGAGGTGGTAGTGTTGCAGTAGAAAGATTGCCAACAGTTGTACCCGCAAGTGTATGTGAGGTAAGAGTTGTCGCCTCTACCTCTGATACTTCCTGAAGATGGGGAGCTGAAAGGTTCTCCTGATTATCAGTCCGTTTAGGTAGGAGTCCATTATTTTTTTCAATACAGTTTGAAAGTGTAGGTTGCTCAACGGGGCCATTCAATTTCTCATCGATCGCAGAAACACTAATTTTAGGGGGAGGGTCCACAGGGCGGCAATAGAATCAGACACAAAATCCTGTCCTGTTATAGTTTTCTCTCCAGGTGAAACAGATATATCCTCAGATTCATTCTTATTCATTTGATCTTTAGATTTTAAATTAAGATGAAGCTTCTGACATTTGTTAAAAATCCTGTCCTGTTATAATTTTCTCTCCAGGTGGAACAGATATATCCTCAGATCCATTCTTATTCATTTGATCTTTAGATTTCAAATTAGGATGAAGCTTATGACATTTGTTAAGGTTATGCCCGAACATCTTATAATGAGAACAATAAGGAGGCCTATGCTTCATGACGATTTGTTGCCAATATCCATTATGCATTGTGCCCAACCAGACTTTAGTAATATCAAACAAAGTAATATCTCTTTCCACGAGTATTTTGGTCACAAAAAGTCTGGTAAGGTTGAAATTAGGTAGATCTAGTTTCATAGGGCTCCCAAGTATGACAGTAATAGAGTAAAGAGCCTGATGATTAAAAAAGTGTAGCTTGAGATCAGGTAGACTAAACTATACCGATACAGTAGGAGGTTCCTGATGGGGGTCAAAACCAGGAGACCACTTAAGTAGCTTCATTGGTTTGCCAGCAATGTTAAGATATTTTTTAGAGAAAATCCAAGTGTAGTCTTCATACATGATTAACTGAATCAAAACATGTCTCTCATCCATGAGCTCTACTTTCCACTTTCCTGTTAATTTGAAGATATTAAAACTTTTCCTGATAACTTCCATAGGTGGGTGCCCCACTGGAATTTTCCAATAAGAGCATACTTGAATTTGTCAGTCAGGGTTGAAATTTCTGACTCAGAGAAAAAAAGTGCTGTCTTTCCATTTTTTATGCTTGCATTCTTAATAAAAGGACAATCGCCTGTACTATCACGATTCTCCTTATAACTTGAGGGGAAGACAACCACCGTCTCCCTCTGAGGATTACCCACCACATGGGCAAAGGAGGTTTTGCCAGGTTCAACCAAAGAATAAGGAAGCTCCATCATAGTAAGAGAAACCTTATAAATCGGGCAGAGGGCAAAAAAGACAAGCCGAAGATGTCGGGGCAAAATTGTGGCTCGACAGAAAAACCATAGCTGAGGTGAAATCGCGGTAGGAAGACGAAACCGCAGCAAGATGAGGCAGAGAAGACACCGTAGCAGGAAGGCGAAACCGCAACAATCCTACTAACCGCAGCTCGACAGACACGAAACCATAACAAGAAGACGCCGAGGCCCTTCGTCGTTGGGCGCGAAAGAGAAGAGGACAGTCGCGAAGGAAATTGACGAGCGCAAAGTCCCTCGTAGTCGTTGTCGAATACGAGAACTTTGTTGTCGAGCATGAGAGGGTGGATTGAAGGGCGAATGAAACCAGGGTTTTGCCATCGGGCGAAACCCTAACAGAGCAGATCACCGCTGCCGTCACCATTATGTGTGTGTACTATGGCGTCGTTTTCCTCCACACTCGGCTATGCTAAGGTTTCGCCTCATGGCGAACCGTAACAACTGTTACGACGAGCTATCTCATCGAATCCTTTTCTCCATTCGCTGCGTCTTCTCCAGTGTCCCTTCTTCGTCTCGCCGTTTTGGAAAGTTGCCGTCTCCATTCGCTGCGTCTTCTCCAGTGTCCCTTCTTTGTCTCGTCGTTTTGGAAAGTTGCCGCAGTCTTTCCTCCTCGTCGACGCCGTCTGCAAGGTCCGCTACTCTCTTTTACTTCGTCGTCGTCGCCTCTTGTCTTCTTCCACGTTGCGTTTTGTTTTTCGCAATCCTCAGGCTCGAGTAGGTCATTGCCTCTCGTCCGCATTCCTCGGGCTCAAGATGAAATCGCAGGGGCTTCACAGAGGGGTTTCCGCTTCTGCTCCCTGTTTTGGATTCAGATTTTGCTCTCTACTTTGCTTTCTTCACTATTCTTAATGCCGCACCTCCATCTATTGGGGATGGCTTCGGACAGATCGTATGCTGCTGCCCTTGCATGCTGCTGTCCTTTCGTATGTCCACGCCTCAGGTACACCTAAATCGTGTTCTTTTCTTCCATTTGAGTGGTCGGATGACATCAAGAAACCTGGTAGGAAGAATGAGAAGCCTACCATCTTTTTTACAGAAGCTGAAAATATTCAACTCGCTTCCTCCTGTCAATTGTATTTGGTCGGGAAATTTCTGTATGACCGTCCCAAAATGGAGCTGATTTGTAAGGAATTTGAGCTTATGCATCTTTTTGGGAGTGGAAAATTGGATTGTTAGATGCAAGACACATTCTTATACAACTAAATAATAAAGAGGATTACACGCGATTATTTGCTATAAGAATAATCTGGATTGATAACAAAACAATGAAGATTCTGAAATGGTTTGTGGATTTTGACCCACAAACAGAACTTCCAATCATTTCGGTTTGGATTCGCCTCTCTGGTTAGAATTTCATTATTTTACTCAAAAAGTGTTGTATTATCTTGTCTAAACTTATGATAAGTAACTCAAAATAGACATTTCTAATTTAGTCTTTCCCGTTCATCTGAAGCAAGAGTACTTGTTGAAAGAGACATCACTTCATCCACTTCTGAAGAAATTTAGTTGGACACACAAAACCATGGATATTGACAAAATGTAGTGATTGAGTTTTTTCCTTAGTATTGTTCGAACTGTCATATGTTCGACCACTCTAGTTTTCAATGCTACCATCTACACCTTCACCTTAGACCACAAAAGCACAGTGCTCCACGAGAGACAATGGATTCATCTCCTCCTGAGAAGCTCCAAATTATTGACACTATTGATCATCAAATGATGCCCTTGAAGATGTCATTATTCTCGCAGACAATATGACAACCATTCAGTCCCCACACAATGTTGTAGCTACTTCGCCTTTGGAACCTCCTATCGTGGGGGAGAGGGAGATTCTTCAGACCCCACCTGCCCTATAACCTATCACTGATATTACAGGTGACAATACTTCTACTGTTTTACTACCGTTTCATTAGGTCAAGCTAGCTATTAACTCAGGCTCATGGGGATCATGATGTGCAACAGCCTACACCTGTCTGACCAACTTTGGAACAATCTAGAACAATCACAATCTATTGATCATATGAGTCAATCATCGGATGAGGAATGATAGGTCTACACATCCAGGAGGAAGCAGAAGAATGGGGACCTACTTGAGCTTAGGAATCTGATGGATGATACTTTGGTTACTTCGAGCAATGGTACTCACCTTACTAATTTATTAGCCAGCTCACTTTCGAGAACTAAAGACAGGGGATGACTAAAGTGGGACATCCCTGACACTTTTGCACCATTTGGTGGTTTTTTGGTTTTTTATCTTTATGTATCTCTGCTTTATTTGAGATTTATGTGTTGTATTGTGTGAGTTTTGCTTTCTTTTATACCCTCTCATACAATATTTTTGTATCTTTTTCGCTTTAATATATTAGCCCTTGGACTTTTTCTAAAAAAAAAAAAAATATAATGTGTGTGTACTTAGCTTTATCACTAGCCAGTTTGGGCTCGATGTGAATCTAAAGTTTTTATTGCACATCTGGTTGCTGCTTTATTTATTTGAGTGCTAAGTCTATAAGCATAGTATTGGCTGCTTAGAAAGATTGGTACCTACATTTTAAATACTGCTATTATTAACCATTTTTTGTATTTTCTTGTGTCAGTGGTCAAATCTTGCGTGATTTACTTCTGCCAGTTTTCTTTCGAAAGTTTTGTTAATTACTGCCAAAAAGTTGTTGAATGGTTTCTCACGCAGATATATGTGTTGATCTTTTTTTATTTCCTTAGTTTGAATGATCAATTAAATCTCTCTTCATTATTTTGTGTTACTATTAATCTCTCTCATGTGTGATTTAAAGCGGATTTTTTTTTCCCTTATGCAGATGTAAAATTCAAAATAGCTTGGTGCAGGCAATCTTGTCAATTATGTCAAGCATTCTTGAACAACAGGCTGCACCACGCATACTTTGTGTGATACTTCATAATCTTCTAAGGGATGAGACGGTATGGACATACAGTGAGTGCCTTTATTGTAAACTTGTGATGCAATTTTCTTCTGCAAGTTCATGCAACACAAATTCACCTTTTTTTTTGCTTTTATTTATTCTACTTGTTCATTTTCTGCATACACATATGTTCATTGATGCTGGTAAAATCTGGAAGTGATCTGCTTGAATAAATATACATAGATATTAGGAATTCATCTTTGCTGCTTATTAAAATCTGAGAATTCCTTTTTATTTGTGATTTTTTTTAATCTTTTTATCAACATCTGCACAATTCATGATTAAAAAATATTGAAGTTTTAAGAAAGTTATAAAAAAAAATATTTAGGTAAAATCTACTCCTCAAAACTTGAGTAAAAGTTTTTCATTTTCTACAGTAATTTATTACAATTGACTTAGCTCTACAATTTCTATGGTCCTCAATGGGGGTGTCCAACCGGCTTTGTAGATTTGGTTCGGGTCAGACCCGAAATTGACCCAACTCAAAACTGTATGACTCGACGCCGACTCTAATATGAAACGGCTCATAAAGTTGAACCAAACTCAACTCGCCTTAAATCCACTTACATGCACCGACCCATATAACCCGTTTAATTTAACGCGTAACAATTATTTGGGTCAATTTGAGTAAATCTTGTGTTAATTTGAAGTTAATATCTGGTGCCGGTCGATTTTGAGTCAATTTTGGATTAGCAAGTTAGTTTCATGTCAATTTTGGGTTGGAAAGTCAATCAGAGGCCAACCCAAAAAAAATAAACTTCTTTCCATTCTTAATTTAAACCCAATCCAAAAATTATTTGGGTCAATCGTAACTTATTTTTTTTGAGTCCGGTTTGGGTCATGTTGGCATATCAGGTCAATTTTTGATACCTCTGGTTCTCAATGATCTAAAGCTAGTGACAACATGGTTCATTTTTTCTAACTATAGGATTCTGCTACAAAGTGGCATCACGAGATATAGTATGGTCATTGCTGAAGTTGGTATGCTTCCCAATCGCTCAGCCCATTGAGTTGTAAATCATAGAGTGCACTTAAGATGCTACAAAGTCCTGTATTAGCTATGGTCTCAAAATTGACATCTTAAATAAACATTCACCCCTAGTCTGCAATGTTGACTTTGCCAATGCAACCCATGATTATTAACAATCGCTCAACCCATTGAGTTGTAAATTGTAGGGCGCACTTAATAAGATGAAGTCCTCATTGGCTAAGGTCTTAAAATTGACGTCTTAGATAAACACACCTCTAATATGATGTGGTTGACTTTGCTGATGCAACCCATAATTATTAACAAAGATTCTTTGATTAAGTTTGGTTGACTATATCTTTTGATTGAAGAGATTAAGCTGAAACGATGAAATCATGAGATATTGATCATATTGGTCATCATTTTCCTCATCATCCATTTTCAACTAGAAGTGAAATTATAATTTGAAGCCATAGTTATTGCGACTATACATTAAACACTTAGTGCTTAATGACTGTCTTAATGTAAAATTTTATCTCGTTGTTGGAGGGATAATTAACTTCATGTGCTTGTGCCTCTGGGAATTCTTGAACTAGAGCTTAAAGTCCTCTCAAATGAGGGTGAAATATTTATTTAATTTCTTATTTGTAATCTAATCTACCTAATGAAAATTTTGGCCCAAACAAAAAAGAAGCAAAAGTTCGCTCATGTGAGCAATGAAGTGAATTTTTGGAGCCACTATTTCCTGTGTAAAAATTGTTAGTTATAATATAAAACTATAACTATATTAATAAAATGAATGTAGCTAAGACTTTTATGCTTTCAAGCAACATTTGGAGGAGATGGTCCACTAGTTTGGCTTTGCCTTCTAATATTCTAATAATTCCATAAATTTCATATCTTTGTGATGCATCAACTCGCCCTCTTAAATAGGGCTGTGAATTTAGTTCGAAGATCGCTAATCGCCTGAAGAACGATTCGAATTTTCTCTAAGATCGAGATCAGATCAAAATTAACAAGGCGAGCTGCAAGCCAAAATTTTGGATCAATTTTTTTGGAGCCGATTTTGAGCCGACCTCAGTTTGCTTGGAATTGGATCGTTAACAACATATGCCTGTGAATTTAGCGAATTTAGCTCGAAGATCGTTAATCGCTCAAAAATTGATTCGAATTTTG